CACTATTGATCCTTTTGATATATTTACTTTTTGTTTGAACCTTCAAATTGAGATATTTTAAGATAGCACTTGGTTGACGTCACATGATATGCTTGTTAAACAGGTGTTGATCCTTTTGAATGGAGAACAACCTGATGTTTTGGCAAGTAATTCAGAAAAGTATTTGAAGACTGAGACCACACCTATTCAAATGCCTGACCTGATCGACACAGGTGATTCTGATGATTACAATGGACTAGATAATTCCGCAAAAACCCAACATGACCAAAATACCCCAGTACGGACAACGACGCCTCCTATTGATGACTTATTTGGAGATGCTATAGACACTGGTCTCGGCACCAGGGAACAGAAAAATGATGATGATCCCTTTGCAGATGTCTCGTTTCACAATGGTGAGAGTAGAGAAAATGTGGATGATCTCTTCTCTGGGATGACTGTAGATGACAAATCAACTGTGAGTGGTAATTCTGCGGCTCCAAATGAAAAATCTGAACTAATTGATATCTTTGGGACCAATTCTGATGCTCCATTTGAGCCAGCGAATCATAAAACTGATGTTAAGGATTTGATGGCTGGCTTATCTATGAATGAGAATCCATCTAATTTGAAGCAGAGAGGAATCTTTTCTGAGGCACACCCTCAAGATATATTTGCCGATATCAACACTCATTCTAGCCATCAAGCTTCTAATGATGCTTCAAGTGGTCTTCTAGGTTCCCAAGCAGCTGGGATGGACTCAAACACAATGTTTCCTTTAGGGACCATGCCATATGCCATCCCTCCTGGATTAATGTTGAACCCAGCCTTTTCTCAGCCTATGAATTATGATGCTATGGGGAATTTCTTTGCTCAGCAGAAATTGCTTGCAACAATGTCCAACTTACAACACTTTGGTAATCTTAATACACAAAATGCTGGCTTCAATAATGTTTCAAGTGGACCTAATGGTGGATCACCTCTGCCTGATATATTCCAGTCCAATTTTCCAACTCAAACACCTAGTTCAATGATGAACGGTTCCAAGAAAGAGGATACCAGAGCATTTGATTTTATTTCGGTGAGTTTAAGTTCTAGCTATGCTAATTTAGGTAGTGTTATACCAATTTCCTCTTCACATGATAAGCAATATTCTTTTAAGTAATTGGACTGTTCCAAGCTCATAGGAGTGCCTCGTTGACTGCTATAAAATAAAGTAAAGATGACATTTAGTTCTGGTCAACCTTGTCTCTGTTTCCAGTGACTTCTGCTGTTGGTGTTGTGACCTGTTCTATATTTTATTTATTTGATGTGGTCAAGCGTAATTACACAGCCAGGTACCGAGCCATTATTTAAAAACCTCTTCCTGTCAAACTCTTTATAGCAGTTAGACAGCTAAAATAGTGGTCCAAAGGATGAAAGTGGGAACTTAGTAAGAATTGCTGTTTATGCTGGATGTCAGATGTGGAGAAAAGTAATAACTTGCTGTTGAACTTGTGAAATCAGGATGAGAAATGGTTCCATTGTGAAGTGAGTTGTCTGTGGAATTATCTTGTATCTGGTTTCTATTTTGCAGGATCATCTAGCAGCTGTTCGTGATCCAAAGAGGACGGTGTAATGTTATTGTGCCTGAATGGACCTGCCGTCTTAGAATCTCCAGGGCACACCAATGATGGTAAATATTCTTTCGAAATAACGGAGCAGTGATGTTACATGCATCTTCGACCTTGGCATTGCATGTAATATATAAGTGGAGGGGACATCCTTTAGAACTTTCAGGCATATTTATATTTGAGATGAAAGAATATTGTGAAAATGTTGTCCGGTTGCAGTTGGATGTTATGATTTTTGAAGTTTGTTTTTTAAACGAATTTATTGTATTGGATATGTGAAGTTGTATCTCCAACTGTTTCGTGAATCTGTGTTTATTTTTGTTTCTTTAAATACATTTAAGAAAATTAATAGGTTAAAAACAATGAAAAGAAGGGGAAATGATGTTTGAGATGGAAATTGACAAGAGAAGAAAAAGCAATGAATCATTTCATGTTCTATCAATCTTTATTACATTTTCTATAATATCAAAATATTTGTACATTTTACTGTTCAGTTAGTTTGCACGATATTGCTACTGTTTTTCTTGCATGTTTGCGGTCTGTATGTTTTGTTCATCTTCGCTTTTGTTTAATTTATCTATCGTGCTTTCAGGTCCAATTACTTGATGTGAAAATTAATAAAGCAAAATTTTGGAAATAATCATTGACCTCAGTATTTAAGAGGTAACGAAGGTATGTAATGGGCTAATTGACATGTTCAAAGTTGTTTGTGAGAATGGACCGAATAATTTTTATTTATTTTTTATTTTGGATTTATAGGATCGACTTGTGATTTTCTTTTCCTGCTGGAGTTGTTGCATTCGCAACACACTTTTTATTTAGCTTAAAAGTAGAAAAAGTTTATGCTTTAGTCTCTTATCCCACTAAATGAGTTGGTGTCAAAACCACGCCATTATCACCTCTACCATCATTCTTGCTATAAAGAAGATTGAAACTTGAAATGGGAAAGAAGAATGTACAATTTGTAATTAATATGAATATTTTAATACAAATATGTATTAATGGGAAGTGGCATATACTCTGTTACCCCCATTTCAATGGATTTTGACATTTAATTCTTCTCTTCTTTTTGGGTAAGAAAAATCTCTGTTAATTACGGTATAAAATTTTCATTATCCATCATATTATGGGATAAGAAAATCATTGAACTTGAAATTTAACAAAGAAAGCAATGAAATTCAATCAAAAGGAACATAAAAGTAAAAAGATATAATAACCTGGAAGTGGCGGTTTTTGGAAGTGTTGAAAGTCCAATAGCAAGCGGAGAAGAACCAGATGGAAAGGAAGCCCAAGTAAAGGGCAGGCAAAGGTCGATACGACTCGTCCAGCCCAACCCGATTCGACTCACCGATTGCTGATATGTTCATGGTTGAAGGAAAAGAGAAAGCTTCGGTTTCAGTTTTACTATTTTGGTGTCGTCGTCCTCGTTGCAGCCTTGTCCTTGGGCTTCAATTCCACTTTGGATTTTTATACTAAAAGCAGATTTTCTTTTCTTCAAACTTTCCAAGTAGAAACGCATTAATAAATGAATTTATGCTCTGTTTTTCGATTTAAATTCAAATTCCCTTTCCTTAAATTAAAGAATTCCAAATAATCCACTTTAACGTATTCATTGATATAGAAATTCTTTTTCTTTTTACATGTATAAGAATTCTATCCATCAATTCAGTTAAAAATTTGATATTGGTTTAAACAATGTTTAAAGTTCGATTCTTTGTGTATATATAAAAATTCATGTTGGGAGGGAGACTCACCCACCAAAGTCAGGTATACGATGCAGGTCGGTCAAAATTAATCAAGGCGAAACCTTTGAACCAGAAAGACAACATAAAAAAATTATACAATATAATATTTTTACATTATCCCCCCTCCATCTCCCACATAACTTGAGTGATATTATAAAATTATTGATTAAGATTTCTTCTTTTTCTTGTACATATAAAATTCTATTTAAATTTTTTAATCATTAATAATATATACATTTTACAAAAATTCATTCAAAATTTTAAAACTTTTTAAAAAATAATACCCTCTCTTATCATTAAAACTCTTAAATAAAAAATAAAAAATATGAATATATATGCCTATATTTTTATATAATTAAATTAAAATTAAAATAATTCATATTTTTAACAATATTCAGCAAAGCATTTTTCCTATATTTTATCTCAATGTAGGCAACAAATAGACAATAAAAGTGTATGTGAAGGAGGGACACCCACTCAAGCCCGTGAATTAAAAAAAATTCAATATATATTTTCCTTATTTGTTATGATAAATTTTTAAAAATGTAAAATAAAATAATGGAGTCCATAAGTTTATTAAAGTATTATTATTATTCAAATTTTATATTAATATTAATTATCTATTTTACTTCTCATAAACTCTAATTCAATTTCTAAAATAAAAAAAATCAATTGAATATATTTAATTTTGATCTTTCTAAATTCTCGCCATCAATGCATCAAATATCTTTTTCAAATTTTCATATCAATGGAAAATTTTATTAACGTTATTTTTCTCTTCAAAACTCATTGGGAGGAAAAATTTAAGTATAATTAGTATGCTTCTTTTCTCTTCTATATTTCATAATTCATTTGAAAATTATTACTCTCACTTTTTAATTTCTCATGTTTCTCACAAACACAAGTCATAATTTTTTATCATCAATTATGGTGCTTGAATCATATTGCATATTGTACTTAAAATTCTTATATTTTCAAATTCTCTCTTTTGATTTTTATAAATTTCCAAATTCTAGATAAGATCGTTCTTTTATTTCCAAATGATATGTTATGTAATGAGAAAATATGTTGAAAAACATTGACATTGACATTATCGTCAATGAATTTGCATCAAAAAATTCTCGAAGGCAATATTTTTTTATAAGTATTTATATGTTTAAATATATTTTTAACTTTTTTATATTATTATGAATTACTACTAATTTAATTAATAAAACAGATTCTAATAAAAATTGTGTACTAAATATTTCTTATTTTTTTTTGAATTAGGGGCCTAATTTTTCACTTTCAACCCGAGTCAAAATATAGTTAAAACCGATCCTAATCGAACACATATTTGCTAATTTGGTTTCCACGCTTCTAAGGCACCAAAGCATCAACCACCCTATTCGCTTCGCACAGGCCAACCTCTTAATCTCTTCCATATGATCAATTTTCGCATAACATTACCTCCTAAAAATTCCTTTGGACTGGAAGTTTCAGAAAATTCTTTCTGAAGGTAGGATCTAAAACACTTGACATTCCTCGAGAAGTCGTAACCTTTTGACATAATCTCTAAGAGACTCGTACGACCTACTATAACTAAATCTACTATCAACCGACCACGTATAGTAAAATTGTAAACCTACGAATGGTTATCATAACTCAACAATTAACACCATCACTAAAGGTCACCATAAACCTCGCAGTCAAGATTGATATAGGATTTAACACCTTCCCCTCCACTTTTTTTCCTCTCATTCCTTATGAAAACAAATGATTTCGACAACAACCAACGATTGTCTAACAACTGACTACAACTCTTCGCCCAAATTAGAAGGGATGAACTACCTAGATTAGCGACAATCTGAAGTGTTGCCTTATTATCACAATAAAATTTCACATGTAACAAATTTTTAACACCCAACTCTTCAAATACTCCGAGCAACCAAATTATTTCAGAAACTGCAATGACCATGCTTTTATATTTTGCTTCAACAGAAGACCTCGCCACAATATGATGCTTCTTCAATTTCCAAGAGATTAAGGTTGTCATCTCAAGTTTGTCTAATGCTTTGTAGAACATACCCTTCTCTGTCTCTCTCTTGATGTATCTTACCACCCTCAACGTTACTTCCATATGTGACTTTTTTGGCAGATGCATAAATTGACTTAAGTTTTGAACAACAAAGGTTATATTCGGCCTCATGTGTGTTAAATAAACAGCCTCCCTATCAGTCGTTGATAAACTGTCATATCTTCAATGAGAGGATCTTCCAAGCTTTCACCTCTGTCCGCTTCAACTGAAGTCAGCTTTAAGTTTTGCTTCAAGAGAGTCATGGCTGGTTTAGCTCCTCATAAACCAGTGTCCTCGATAAACTCCATAACATACTTCCTTAGGCTCATAATGATTCTTTCCTTTGATCTCATCACCAAAACCTAAAAAAAATTAAGACCCCAAGTCTTTCATCCTAAAACTCATATTCAATATGTTTTTCAATTCAATAATCAAATCTTTGTCATTCCCAGTTATGAGTAAATCATCAACGTAAATCAGCATAATTACTGTCTTATTCCCTACTTTTTAGTGAACATTGAATAATCATATCGACTTTGTTCATAATCATATTTTTATAATGCTTCTTCAGTCAATTTAAGATTCCATTGTCTTCAGCCCTGCTTGAGGCCATGTAAAGATTTCTGCAGCTTACAAACTTTACCCCTTGGCTATAGAACTCCCGAGGTAACTCCATGTAAACATCTTCTACAAGATCACTTTGGAGAAATGCATTGTAAATGTCCATTTGAAATAGAAGCCAACCAAACTGCGTTGCAAAGGCTATTACACTTCTGACAGTAGCCAATTTCGCGACCGGAGAGAAGGTATCTGTTATGGAATGAGAGAAATAGAGTAAGATGCGGGAAAAGAATGAGAGAATTTAGAGAAGAAAATAGTCATTCATTCATTGCATGAGGAAGAAAATGCCTCAAGTCGGGTCTTATTTAGTTACAATGGTTATACGGTAATTCTAAGGATGCCAGGTGGCTATCATTTTTAACAGATTCTAACAACTCTATTTATGATTTCCTTCTTCTGTAGGTATTGGCCTTCTGACTCGGACTGCTCCAACTCTTCCTGGATCCACTCAGCCTGCTCCAACTCATCCGGTAAGTTAATCATATGCCCTTCACGTGCTTCAATTCCCAATTCCTCCTCTTCAATCCCTAACCCTTCCTTAATAATTCCCAAATCCCTTTCCTCGAGTCTAACTTCTTCTCTGCATTCTCTCTTGTGCATGACATTACCCCTTCCACGAATAGATCATTGTCCACAAGGATCAAAACTTGGAAATTGAGGCCTCAGAATGGTATGAGCTTCCCAAGTATCGTGATTTGAATTCAAGTTCACCCATCGTACAAGTAAATTCTACTAGCAAGGTTGCAATCTTAGGTATACTTCTTCTCTAATTTGAAATTGTCGTTCACTTCGTTTTTTATCAGCATGTTGTTTAATTATGTTCTGCAACATATCTGAGATCATATTCACTGTGAATTCTGAACACCATAACAAAGTAGGTGGTTTATCAGAATTTACATTCACTTCATACTACACCGCATCATTGTTTTCTGAAACTTTGCTCTTCCTTGTATCTTTTGGCCTCTTATTTCTCCGTTTCAAGGTAACAAGTTGCCCAACTCGAAACCCATCAGAATTGAGAGGTAGAAACCCAATAGCTAGGCATGGTTCTTGGATTGGCAACTATAAGATTATAGCTCTCCAAAAGATTAGAGCAATCATCTCTACCATTTGAAGTTTAAGGAAAAAAATTTCCAATTGGTTCAAACATTCAAAATTCTCCAGCAACCGAATCTGATCGAACTGATGTGTACCCATATAACAAACGGCTGTTATAATCTGCATCTGCCCTTATTTCAATAGGTGTGAACATGTTACGAATGACAATAGTCACCAGAACTGTCACTTTTGTATTATCATGACCACCCCATCTGAGCATCCTCTCCTCAACTTTCTTCAGCTTATTTTTCTTCCTGCTGTCCACTTGCTTGATTTTGAATTTATCCCCTTGCTGCTCGAATTTAGCTCGGCTGACTGATATAGGAATCTTTCTATTAGGACAAAAAACAATTCCATCCAAAATTTGAACTGCTAAAGCAACAGAGGGCTCCTTTAGATATGTAACAAGTGCATCCCCCTTTTTCCTTCCTGTCTCCTTGTCAATATAGATCTTCACGCGAGGTCTTTTTTATTCAGGGTCCTCTTTAAGTATTCCACACTTAGAGAACACCTCAACCAATTCTTCTGCAGTAACATCATCGGGCAGTCCAGTCACATAAACACGTGTATTTACTTTTAATTCAAACCACGAATTGGGAGATCTATTAGCTTCATTCTTATCAACTGGCTTTTCCAACAATTTTCTCTTGGGACTAGAGCTTACTTCCATTTTCTCACCATTTCCATTAATATCTTCTTTGACAGAGGCATCAGCAACAGCATCATCAGTTGCACTTACAGTTGGAAAATTTCATCTTCTTTTAAGAATGTCATCTCTTCTACTCCATAGTTATCATTTTTTGTTGATGCGTCATCCTGAGGAACCCTTGCTCTCAAACTTCTATCCCCCTTGTACCTGGTTCCACCATCATCAGTAATTTCTTCTTCCTCATCACTAGCTTCTCCATCCCTTAAATTATGCCTCTCCATTTGTTCTTCCTCATGTGACCACCTCCATTTACTGACCCATTTTTCCCATTCCTCCTTCAGCATCCTTCTCTTCACACGATCTTGCTCACTCAATATCATTGAAACATCCTGGTCCTCTGCCGCATATTTCTTGTTGTACTTCTTCATGTTCTTTGTAATCACTTCCTCCTTTTCAGGAGTCAAAAAGGATGGTGGCCTCAGGCGCCACAAGAAATGGAAGAAATGATCCTTCAGTATCCGGTAAAGCAGCTTGCCATTAAAGGACCATATATTGAAACTGTTTTCCATTTCATGAACCGAAGTCACTAAAGTGGCAACATACCTTCCAGTGGAATCCCATTCAACATCTGTTGCCATAAAATGTTCAACAGTCGCCATGGTTTCAATCTCATCAACGTTGAAGAATTCCAATTGACCATTGAAACCCTTCAATCCAGCAAAAACTATGAAGCGACCACCAGATGACCAGAATATAGAATTTGTCTGCTTGCCTTTTAGAGTAGTGAGCTTTGCAACACAACCCAAATTATGAGTGCTTCGCATCGAGTAAAAGCTAATATCAGGCCTTGGATTATCTCCATATATAACAGAAAACCTAGGCCCATTGGGCTCCCACGGAAAGGCAATTATCTTGTCATTTTTATTATCAAGTTCCAAAACTTCAATTGGTATGTCCCTTTCTTTGATGCGTAAGAGCTCAAATCCAGTGTATGTACTTTTCTTTGTTTTTGTATAGCGATCAGCCTGCACAGCAAGATACTCACAGTTGTTTTGCCAATACATTTTGTTATCACTAATGCTGAAAATATTCTTCTGCCTCAATTCCTCTTTGCCATGTATTTGAACTATATTCACCCTAGCAGGTTGATTTCCACCTCCAAGTTCAGGAACAAAAAGTGCAATGATGAGATCAATTGGCGACCAATTGAAGTCCACAACATTCTCAACCTTAAAGGATTTCTTATCGATAAGGCTAAAGGTCTCTATTTCATAAACATATATCATATTCTTCCCAAGTTTGGCAAAATACTTTTCCTCCTTTCCAATTATCTTATCGATCTCTACTAATGCATCTTTAAGATTAATTCCGATTAGCAATAATCTAAACTTGTAAGGGTCATCATCTTCTGCTGCTGCACCATCTGCATCAGGATTAGGAAATGTGTGGGCTGCTTTGAACCTATATGGGTCAACCAGGGAATCTTGAGACTGTCTGGAAATCACTTGACATTGACTATCATGAAGTTCAAGAGTATGAGGATTTGACAAAGACGCAGATGAAGGCAATTTGATTTCCGGATTCCCAAAATGTGATTGTTCAGCATGCCAAGATTGTGAATGTTGGTGACAAGCAGTTTCCGAAGTACCAGGACACACATCTGAAACTAATGTCTCAGGTTCTTTAGTATTTGGTGTTGGCAATTTATCGAACACCTGGGAATCATCATGTTTTTCCTCACACTTTTTACCAGTCAACAACTGTAAAATGTGCTCCTAGACTCCAACGAATTGATACGTTTATCTTGAGCCTCCCACCACTTGGGAGGGTTGGTTTCCTCATTTGCTTGCTACACTGTTTTCTTTAAATCCTCAATCTGCTTTTTGATGGCAGAGAGATCAGTAGATTTGACCATGGTTTGGTTCTTCTTTTGCATATCCAGTCTGTAATTTGCCAGGAATTAAGGCTGCTGATACCAATTTGTTATGGACTGAGAGAAATAGAGTAAGAAAATAGTTATTCATTCATTCATTGTATGAGGAAGAAAATGCCTCAAGTCGGGTCTTATTTAGTTATAATGGTTGTACGGTAATTCTAAGGATGCCAGGTGGCTGTCCTTTTTAACAGATTCTAACAACTCTATTTATCATTTCCTTCTTCTGTAGGTATTGGCCTTCTGAATCGGACTGCTCCAACTCTTCCTGAATCCACTCAGCCAGCTCCAACTCATCCGGTAAGTTAATCATATGCCCTTCACGTGCTTCAATTCCCAATTCCTCCTCTTCAATCCCTAACCCTTCCTTAATAATTCCCAAATCCCTTTCCTCGAGTCTAACTTCTTCTCTGCATTCTCTCTTGTGCATGACAGTATCAACAAAATCCACACATTCTCTTTGATTGTAACCCTTAGCCACTAAACGAGCATTAAAGCGTTCAACCTCTCTGGAAGCCTTGTACTTCAAACGAAAAACCCACTTGCAGCTAATAGGCTTTTTGTCTTTAGGCAAATATACCACAGACCATAACTGAATACTTTCTAGAGCTTGAATCTCCTCCTTCATAGCTTGAATCCAAAGGTGATTTTGAATGGCTTTTTTGTATGTTTTAGGTTCAGGAATCAATGATGTAGAGGCAAGAAATAATTATGTGCTAATAGGTAAGTAAGTATAAGAAACAGATGAAAAAATAGGACAAA